TAAAACTAATTAAAAATCTAACAAGAACCAAAAAAAAAAAGATTATAGCCGGTTCGTTTATACTTGTTCCTCTTTACAATCGATTAGAATACAAAATTTACTCTAACGCCGTTCTAACCGTCGGTAATATTTTATAATCCTAATTAAGAAAAAAAACGAAACTAGTTAAGCTTCGTTTACCTCATTCTCGCGTCATTCTTTTTCTATTTAAAGCAGCCGTTACTTATTGCCGTTAACTCATAGGGACCAATACGTTATCACCGTTAACATTTCCGTCAATCTGGACGTTACCTTCTCCGTCACCGGCGTCATTTTGTTCTACCGGAGAACAATCCATCTTATGTCGGAGTTTCCAATCCAGAGCTTGACAAGCGCGTGAGCAGTAATTCACAACGCCACAGACCGAACATCTCCTAAACTCATGTTTCCTCGTCTCCGGTCTTCCACATCCGGCGTGAGAACACAGCCTCAACCCATCTCCGGGACAATCTCCACCTCGTACGGCGAACCAATCCGCTAAAAACCGATTCGCCGGATGGGTTTCCGGTGCCGGTACATTACACCCGAAATCGCTGAGCAGAGGACAACCATGTCCATGGATTTGGTTAGAGTTAGGGATCTGAGGCTGTGACAAAGTGAGCCACGACCGAGCAGTCATCCCGGAGGACAAAACGGCGGCGAGTTCACGAGCGTTGGCTTGGACTAAGAAACGACGACCTTCGGAGACGTTTTGAGGAACACCGTAACCATCTTGGAGACAGTGACCAAGCTCACGGAGCGCGTCGACGTGACCGAGGAAAGCCGCACGAGCGCATAGAGCCACACCGGCACGAAGATCTTTGTCGTTCTTGGAACCGCCGCTTCCGTTGAACTGAATCACCGCTAAGGAATATAAAGCCGGCGCGTGAGAGCTAACGGCGGCTTTAGCCATGAGCGACGCGCCGTTTCCTCTGTTTTGCAGACAGTAAAACCGAATCTGCAAACCAAAATGGAAATTAAAAAAAGAAGAAAAAAAAAACTTTACCAAAAAGACAACATTTAGAAAATGACAACTAACCATTCCTAGAGTGTAACAAGCTTCGAGACTTCCGGCGTCGACGCAGCGTTTCAGAAACCGGTGAGCTGATTCCGACCAATTCTGAGCTTTTATGGCAATAGCTTTTGGAGACAATCTTGATAAAACCAGAGAATTCGTAGCTAACCCGCTTAACCTCTTACATCTGTTAGAAAACAAAACCAATTATCATCAATCAGACAAAAGCTTTGGGTTACTGAAACCGACGACGGAAAGAACATAACCGGAAAGCTTACGTCATCAAAACGTTGATGAAATCAGCAGGACATCGAGCCGTAGAAGCAAGTCTGCAAAGGATAGAAACGACAAGATCGTCGGGGATTGAATCAAGCAAATCGGGTCCGGCTTTGGCTTCCGTAGCCGGAGAATTGGAAGAAACACATCGCCGACGTTTCCTTCCCGGAGTAAAGTCTCCGGCGCCGGAGAAAACTCTCTTGGCTGGTCTTACAGGCAACATAATAATAAGAGATAATAATCTTGTGGGTTCTTTAGCGGAGGATTACACAGCTTCTCTTCTGGTCCCCTTATCTCTCTCTTATCTCTCCTTTTTTTTTCTCTCTTTGGCTTATAAATATACAAAGTGGTTGAGTTGTATCTCTCTTCTCCCTGCGTACATACGTATGCGGTGGGTTTTTGGAAATGACTTTTTTACCCTTGTACTTTTGTCTTATTTCCGGTCAAAACGTCGTTGACCCAATTTTCGCTTTTACTTTTTGGCTTCAAGATGATCCCTCTCCTCTCGTAAGAATAATTTATTTATATCAATGGGAGGTACAAAGAAAGAAATTTGCGGAGAGGAAATGGAGAAAAAAACGAAACGGTTTTTTTTTTTTTAATTTTAAAGGATAAAAATGAAAGAAAAAAAAACAAATTGGTGAAACTAACTCCGATTTATTGTTTTTTTTTTTAACCCTGGAAAATGATTCACTCGCGAGGTCTCTAACACGGTAACGAACGTAGGTCTTAAGGGAGGAGTGAGTGGAGTGCACGCGCGTGGAAAAGCGAGCGGGGGATTTTATGTGAAAAATTTGTGGGGAGAGAGGTCAAACGTAAAGAATGAGCCAGTAATAATTTACAACGGTTACTTCCTTTTTATCTTCCTTTTGCCGTTTCTTTCTCCTCCACGACGTTCTTTTTTTTTTTACTTGCTATTTATATATGGTCAATTAGCCAAATATTAAAGAAATTAACAATTGAACTATGGGAAATGACGATTTTAGGGTTCATACGAAACCATTTTGTACACACATTGAACAGATTCGCGTTTTTCATACTATACTACCTAACATAAAATTTAGTACAAATAATTTTGAAATTATATACTAAACTTTAAACCTTAAACTTTAAAACTAAACCGTAAAACTAAAATTGTTAACCCAAATTCAAAAACTAAAATTATAAATTTTTGAAAATAATACAATCTAAACAAAAAAATATGGAAATAAGAGAAAAAATAACGTTAAAAAAAGAGAAATGAGGGTTTGTTGTATA